GCATTTCAGCGACAACGTCAAATAGTTCCAGTTCTTATGCAAAAACATTATAAACCAGATGGATGGTTATTATTTTTGATTGGTCAATTATTATATGTTGATTTTACTAAATATGAATTTGTAAGAGCAATGGAAATGTTATCAAAAGAACTAAAAGCAATTCATGTTCCTGATACCAAGATAATACCAGTTCAACCAAAACAAGATATCCATGTTGTTTCACACCCAAAAGTTACTATAACATTACCAAAAGTATCTTCATCGAATATTATAGAATGGACATCGACACAAGTGCATGATTGGCTTCTTGAGCAGGATCTCGTTCAAATGCCTCGTCTTCTTAATCACTGTGATGGTCGAAGTCTAGTCTATCTACTTAAATACATGGATGTCAGTCAACCAGAACAAGTTTTATCATTACTTCAAGAAGATTCCTTACGATTGATAAATCAAAATATATCACTTATAGAATTATCTCGTTTTCATTCTATGATGCATCAACAAAAATGACTCATGTAATGAATTGTTCTATTCGAAATGTAAAAAACTATACACGAACAATGTACTAATTAACGTTCCATTTTAAACTAACAAATTATATCTATTCCAAAGAGTGACTCATAAGATTTTTACTATTAATAAAGTTTATTCTCAGATTACTGCACTTTTTTAAATGTAAACTGAGCATAAGTTCAAATAACGGATTACAAAATTGTCTGTTTTTCTATAGTATTATGTAAAAATAACATTGATCACATGATGATGTTAACTAGATAAAATACGATAGTTTCTTACAGAAAGACAAAAAAATTTGCATAAATATCAGTCAACTCTTATTGTACTTCAAGGTAAAATGCTGGTAGAAATAACGTCAATAAATATTATTAAAAAAAAAGAGAGAAAAGAACAAAATATATAAGACGATCTTCAAGTAATCTACAATCGTATCTGTGAATAATTTTCATTTGAAGAAAATTATCGATAAATTCTTTCAACAAAGTTATTTACAAAATATTTCGTTGCATTTTCTTATATTTAAATATCTTTCTATCTGCTTGCTATAAAATCTAGCAATCTTTTACATTTTAAAAACGTTGATTATTAATTTAGTTATAGATCAAAATTAAATTGTGATATTTTGATCATTAGGGTTTAGTTATGAAGATTTTTTTGAAAGCTCGATGAAAGTACTGTGATTTATATATCTAATTATTAGTACGCGGCGATCTTGACCAATCGATCATAATACCGTGAGTTTATATCTTTTATTTTTCTATTATGAAAATCTAACTATTTAGAATATAGTTTGAACAAGTAAATCAATTTTAAAAATTCTTTCTGTTCTAAGTGTATATCCAAGTTTTCGAATACTTCAACTGTATGTAATTCATATAGTGATATTAGTACAAAAAACTTTGATAAGCTTCTTAACACATTTTTTATTTATTATTAATATTATTTTATTTTATTTTCTTATTGCAGAATTTGGTAAGATAAATATTTTAGGTAAATTAATAATCGTAAGAAAATCTAATGGATAATTTTGAAAAATATAAACAACTGATTAAATTAGAATAAAAAAACAATTAAACTCGCACTAATTGATCAAGAAAATCGAAAAGTGATTGTGGAGAAATGGTCAAGTTTGTAATATATAATCCGAAATCTATTATCTTATTAATTTTTATTTCTTGCAACATGAGATGACGCTACGTGAATTGTTATAGTATGATATATAAATCATTCATTAGCGTGAAGTTGTTCACAGAATCAATCTTACGAAACTCATATAAAATATCATAATTTATATCTTCCGAACCAAATGAAAATATTATTTAAATATAATTTTAGTGATCAAAAGTCAATACATGCTTTATCGATATCTAAGAAATGATATATAAAAATAGAGTTTCAATCAAATATAATCCTTTTTAGTTGTTCTACGTATATGGGAAGCTGTTGTCTTTAATCGAAAAAATTAAGATAAAAGAAGGAAACATTTCATTTACGAAATCTTTCTGTATTACCCACCCATCAAAATAATTATGATTTTCTACTATTGAAAATAATCTGTAAACTCCTCTTTTTTTATCATCATATAGGCAAACATACTAGTAATGATATTAAAATCTTTGTTAAGTGCATAATTACATTGTAGAAAACATATTCGCTTAAGGCAATACGAAACAAAAATATTTTCTGATCAATTTCTTAAAAACCTCTTTGTTTTTATAAATTATTTCGTTTCAAAGCATTGTGCTCAATGAATAATTTTGAAGTTAAGATGAACAGTCTTTCCATGTAATAGGCAATGTTGAAGAATGAACAGACACGCCATGCTAAGTTGCACACAAATTACACACTGAATTTTGGCTATTGTGTTTGAGAACTTAACAACTGCTGCATTTCACTGTTGGGGTCAATATAAGAGTGTAGCATATGATCCATAAATAACATATCCTTTCCTATCCATATAGCTATTGTCGTACTCATCAGCTATTCATACTTCTTTTAGCTTTTGAACACTCCTCATGGTTACAGTGGACATCGCTATAAAACTGCACGACTTTTTAAATACATATCTCTATCGGTCAAAGGATATAGTATCACTGCAGAAGTGATAACTACAAACTGACCATTTATATTCCTTTCCCAAAACTACAATCTTTAAATTAAGCTCACACATAGTTATTTTACCTCAATTTATGCACGATATATTTTCTCGTTTTCCCAGTAGCGAGAACTACTACAACAAAAAGTTACAAACAAGCTACTTTTTTTTAATTTGTTCTTTACAAGTGTTTACTTGTCTAAATATCAAAACCAGACTCCATAAACTCTTTTCTTGATTTTTGCAATAACATACAAGAAATGTCAAAATATTTAATATGTCAAATAATCACACCGACAGTCCCGGATCTTATCGACAGCAGTCTATCTGCGCTGCCCGTCACCAGAATGACCAAGAAGAAGATCATCATCATCATCATCAAGATCATCATCATCACAATCACAATAACAACGATCATGACGATCACGATCAGGAAGATCATAATCATTGCTAATTACAACACGAGGAAGACGTTTCTCTTGAGGAGGTGATGCAGTTGCTTGTGCGCTTC